ACTAGAACTCACTGTCTCCCGCTGATTGGCCCAAGGTCATCCAGCTGGATTTTATGGCTAATTTGGAACAAGAACGTCTCCTAGAAATTGGCCCAAAACCACCTATTTGGTTTATTGTGGCACTAGAATTTATCACCTTCTGGTAACTGGCCCAAAGTTACCCAGCTGGCTTCCATACCTAAGGCAACACTGGAATTCACTGCCTCCTGGGGATTGGCCCAAGGTCACCCAGCTGGCTTTGTGCCCAAACCAGAACTAGAACTCACGGCCTCCCATTTGCTAGCCAGACAGCTTCCCCAGTACACCAAACGGGCTTTTTCTCAAGCTCTGCAGCTCACCCAACGATTCCAGAGTCAAAAGAACCGGAAAGGCCTGGATTTACCTGATGCAGCTTCAGGGACATGCGCACGCCAGGCGCCACCACCTGGTGCAGAAGATCCATGTCGGCAAAGACCCATTCGTCCCGGGGCGACGTGATTCGGAAGTCGCCCTTGAACAGGGCATGCAAACCGTAGAGGAAGGGCTCCAGGCTATGGAAAGAGACAAAAGGCAAAGGTTACACCGAGACCATCCAATGTAATGGGGTCCTCGGTGCTCTCTGAGCTGGGTGGTTTTCCTGCAGACGTTTCATGACCCAGCTAGGTAATGCTATCAGTGCTGGGAGGGAGGAATGTGTGCAGAGTGAGGAGGAGAACTGTGCTTGGCGCTCTCTGAGCTTGGTGGTTTTCCTGCCAGATGGTTCATTATCAATACAGGGAACATCCTCAGTGACAGGGGTGGGGGGAGAAGAGAAAGCAAACCCCGCTGCCTGTTAACACTGATAATGTTACCTAGAAGGATCGTGAAACGTCTGAAGGAAAACTACCAAGGCACCAAAACCAGTTCAATCCTCAAGGTGCCAATGTTCTCTGTGGGGTCCTTGGTGCTCTTCTTGCAGACGTTTCATGACCAAACTAGGTAACATCATCAGTGTTGAAAGGGAATAGAACCGAGAGGAGGGGCGGGGGGGGGGAGAGGGAAGGAGGGAGAGGGGGAGGAAGAAGAGTAGGATGACGACTGGTGGTTGGTGGTTTCCTTGCAGACATTTCATGACCAAACTAGTTAACACCATCAATGTTTTAACTGCACTGGTGCACTGATTAGTGTCAATGCGGTGTCGATGTGATCCGGTTAGATTGTGAAACATCTGCAAGAAAGCCACCAAGTTCAGAAAGCCCCCAGGACCCACAGCCCGTCTCCTGCTCCTCCTCCTCCCCCCCTCTGCACACCCCACTCCCTTCTAACACTGATGATGTTACCTAGTTTGGTCATGAAACGTCTGCAAGAAAGCCACCCAAGCTCACAGAGAACCAAGTCAGAGCCTGAGCTAAAAACATTCCCTTCTATTCATCCAGAGCTTTCCAGATGTTTCATGACTGCTGCCCTGCCATGACTGAGGGACAGGGACTATGGAAGAGGTGATCCAAGGCTCCGATTGGCCCGTGCCACCCTATCACCGGTTTATCAAGGTGGGTAGTCTTCAAACTTCTTCTTCCAAGCAGTGCCCTTCACAGATGTTGAGACAACAGCCTTGCTTGGCCTACGCTGCTGCAACATCTGGCAGCTTGTATCCAAAGGCTCGTCAGCTGGTTGTGAGGCCAATTAAAAAGGAGACCGGGGCCTCAACGACTCTTGATGAGGCGATTTTTCTTAAGAAATGAAATGAATTCCAGCGTGAAACAACGAACAGCCGGATGTTATTTTAGCAATTTTCGGTCTTTTTTGTCGTTTAATGACCCCTGTAATCCTTTGCAGGCCGGAGCTAGCAACTGTTTACTGGCCAGATGCCCTTCCTGTCCCCAATGAGGAGTTTTGTTTGGCAGATATATTCTCATCGTGCCCAGACAGAGAAATACCTGCCTCTACCTAGGATCGAACTCATGGCCTCCCGATGGTGAAGCCAGAGCGCCCCCTCTAGGCCACCTGCACCACTCGTTATCTTAGCCGCTGTTTTGTGCTAATTCCGCCCCTCAGCATAGACACCTGTGAAGCCGATGGACTACAAGGCTGTGCCACCCCTGGTAAGTGGCCAGGGATGATGGAATCTATAGTCCAAGCTCATCCTGAGAAGGCTGGAGAAAAACATCTCCGTAATTAAATATGAACACATTGTTATCCTTTTTGGCCCCTCTTAGAAAACCGCGTGGAGTCAATGCCGGCTTGTTTAGCTTTTGCACCCGTGTCCGGAGAAAAGAAGGGCATATGGGCCGGGGTGGGATTCTACCTGCTCGGACAACCGGTTCTTATAGAACCGGTTGTTATGATTCTGCGCAGTTCGGAGAAGCGGCCAATCGCACCACTGGCTGGTCCCGCCCTGCCCCGCCCACTCACTGCTTACCTGGCATGCACACCATCCAACATGCCCACCTTGTGCCTTCCCCTAATTTTGGGTAAGTTGCTATTTTTCCTTTTTTAACTCCCGACCATCAGCTGTGCCGGGAGATTTAGATTAGCTAGAAAGCAGGAAATGGTTGGACTTCTTGCTTTCTAGCTAATCTAAAACCAGAGCTGAACCTTCCTTAGGACTGAAGCTTCTGTTTTTTTCAGTGCAGACTCAGGCAGCAGATTGCAGAAAGATAGATCTCTGAGTGAATCTGTGATTCTGGGAGCAACTCAATCTGCCTGCCTGCTTTGCCTCGTTTTGGGTAAAAGTTGCTCCTTTTTAATAAAAATTTCAATATTTACATACATGGTGTGTTGTGAGTTAATGTTGTGAGTTTGCTTGCCAGCAAATTTTAGGGGACAGACTCAGGCAGCAGATTGCAGAAAGGAAGATCTCTGAGTGAATCTGTGATTCTGGGAGCAACTCAATCTGCCTGCCTGCTTTGCCTGATTTTGGGTAAAAGTTGCTCTTTTTTTAAAATAAAAAAATCAATATTGACATAAATATTAACAATATTTACACACAAGCCACGCCCAGCCGGTCACGTGACCACCAAGCCACACCCAACAAATTAGGCCAGGCCCACAGAACCGGCTCAAATTAAGAAATCTGAATCCCACCCCTGCCTGTGGGCTCCCCCTCACCTGGCTGACATGCTGTGGGAGGCGGTTCCCAGGGCTCTGCGGCCCAGGATGCAAAGCCCGAAACACAGGGTGACCAGGCGGGAATTCCACTCCCGGTCCACGGCCTGCAAGAGGAAGGAAGGGGACAGGCGGGAGGTGAATTTTAGGGGCATCGTGGGCCCGCTCTCCAGAAACTGGGAGGGCCTGTCGAGTTCCCAAACCAGGTCATCCTGCCCTCCACCCTGCCTCTCTCTCTCTTCCCTCTGGCCCCCCGACTGACCTTCTCCCTGCGCCCGGCGCAGTACTGAATCCAGTCGAGGTAGATGTTGCAGAAAGAAGCCAGGGAGATCCCCGCCATGCGGTGGTCGTAGTCTTCGTCGATGTTCAGGTTGAAGGTGGGGTCGCTGTCGGCGTAGTTGAGGGCGGTGCAAGGCCGGAGGGCTTCCTGGATGCCTTCGTTCCCCATCCACTCCTCCAGCTTCGGGGAGCAGGTCACGTAGTAGATGATGCTCTGCGGGGGGGAGGGGGGGGGG